AGAGAGAGAGAGAGAGAGAGAGAGAGAACAAAATAAAGCTAATTAATGGTATGATGAGTGCCTCTGGTTAATTACTTGCAAAGACGCTTGCGGTGATGAATGCCGCGTCGAGTCAGTGTGTAAATGTCGTTGGCATCATGCCTATATCCTGTTCTCCCAGGAACTACAAAAGTGGTCAAAGCTGCCATTACCCGTTGGATTGATAGATTTTCATTGCTAAAATTATAATAGAACATTAATAAGTAAGTGAAAAACATTCCGGCGGTAAATTGTCGAATATGTAGCTCTAAATGGCTTAAAATGGAAAATTATAGATACGCGACGATTTGAGTTACGTATACGAGTGACGTGAGGTAGATGGTATAATTATATTAAAGGGAGAATCGATGGTTGTGCTGAACCGTTGCAGAGGGACGGTGGTGTACGTCTAAATACGCTGTTATGTATTCTATATGTGTAAACTCTCGTAAGCACGTAACTAAAATACGCTATGTGTCTGATAGTCGCAAAACTCTACCTAAACTCTATCGAAGAGCTAAGAAATTAGTAACAATACTAATACCAAATACTATTAATAACAACAGATGACCCTTACTAGTACAAACTATGACTGTGTTGGAAAGGAACGGGGCGTTAATAACATTAGCGAATTGGTTGTAAATGTACATGATGCAGTGAGAGATCTTCACTGGAGACCGAGGGCGTGTCACTTCGATTAGAAAACATAGATGGGCTTACTTAATACAGATGGGGCAACTTAGCATCCTCATCAAAAGTCACAATAACACTGTAGTACGTGGTCGCGTGGTAAATATCTGGTGGGTTTACCTGGGAAGTTCAAAACAGTAGCTGAAACCTGCAGTCACCGGCGTCCTAGGCATGTTATACCGGAACAGGCATACAATAGAACTATCTTACCACTATATACGATACGATGCGTCCCGTTTGGGGAGCGTGCCGCTGCTAATACGCGTGGTTGATTGATCCACAAACGATATAACGAAGAGCCTGTACGAGGATAACGGGTAGCTACTGCAAGGGAACGACGTCCATTTAAAGGAGGGTCCAGAGAAGGCACACATAAAAACGCAAAACATGCAAATCTATGCCATAACAGCTAGGAGAATAACAAAAGTCGAATCATACGCAAAAAACAATGTAGTTGTTGATCGAAAAATTGCTCGTTACTAGTAGAAAACAGGTTGGACACACTATACAAAGGACCTGTAAGCGCATTATAAAATAGGAAGTGATTCAGCAAAAACAAACGGAGAAGGGCATATATAGAAACCAAGTAGCGCGAGTGACAAAATCAACATTGACAACATATTCTAACACTTAGCACAGCAGATCTCCTGGCAGCAAGTGTGTTCAATACAAAACACATCCTGTAAAATACAGCAGCAGGTTCTCTCCCTTCCAACCAGAAAGCACTAATGACACGTACGTATATGCTCATAAGTATAACTATTATAATACTAATGATAATTATATATCATATCCAATAGTAGCAAAAGCAATCATCAATAATTTATCGTTCTGACCCCTCTTTCTTCTCCCGTACCAAAACAATGGGCCGCGTATTCATGCAAGGAAGAAAAGATATAACGAGTAATCGAATTAATAAAATAATTACTATACTATATATCATTTTAACTATCTCAATAAGATATTGTAATAACGTATAGGAACAAGCATGCAGCAGAGAAATTTTCCCTTCCAACACACGCACATGAGTATAGCTATCACGAGCCGGGAAGGCCTCGTAAACAGTTAATAAACCGAGATGTATCAATGTGAAGATCACGAAAATAGTAACGAAATAATTTCGAAAATTAAACAACGGTGTATAAAGCATAATGCGTATGAGAAAAATATTTATATATGAACGATCGCAGTGTACACTTGACAGAAAATTGCCCGTCTGAATGACATCCACGAAACAACTACCCCTAAACTTTGACTTGCTCGACGAAGCGAAGGATCTACCTATACAGACTTGTTCGGCAAACCTAAAAATAGCCCTTGTTAAAAAACAACTGCCAACGTCCATGCAATAGCTAAAACTTCGAACAGCATCTGCAACCGTTTGCCCAGAGAATCCCAGTCAGACTGAGAACGACGCCATTAAGACATGTTTCGTGCTTCACTTGCGTATACGGTGAATGTGTTCGTGTATTTATTTCTTGATTTATCAACGAATTAATTAATGGGTAACCGATCGGCGTTGACTGTGCTTAGTCGACCAAACTGACCTAAACCCACTATTGCTTTTCTGGCCGAAAACGTTGCCTCGATAAATCGACTAGGACATAATTAAATATGGCCTAACGAGCCTCTCCTGCATTACCGTTCACCTGTAAATGTCTACAGAAACAAGCAAGGGACGAAATCTGGAGGGAGAACACTGGAGGGCGTTTGATACACGGCCTTTACCTCGGATGGGGCTAGTACAAGCTGTTTTAGCTCCGTTGATGAAAAAATCAGTTACTAGAATACGTCTCTCTAAATTCACTGAGAACAATTCTGTGCAAGTACGATAATGCACCTCACACAATTAGGAAACAACTGCCAATCACTTGCAACCTATTATAACACAACCTCTATTTTTGTATGCGTCGCGTTATTTTTTTCCGTTCTCTTCGAGTCAACTTATGTCAGGTCGTAATGTATATTAGTTATTAAATGCTAGAAAATATAAGATTATTGTATTATTTGGTTCGAAAGAGACAGCAGTCCTGCGGTACGGTTATACATACGAGCCAGTGGGTCTAACGGCAAAATATGCATCGTAACACTTAGTGGGGTTCTACTTCAAGATGAGAAAAGGGTATGAAACTCATCTTGGCCCTGCTACTTAGGAGCCTCGATGGCTTTCTGTTGCCATTATTCGGGACGAAGTGATTTGTGGGGTAGCTAGATTTGTTTTGTAAAGCATTCGTCTAATGCGAGCGTGTATAGACCGTTAGAGAGGAGAAACCGTGTCACGGTAAACTGCTAACCGTAACCATGGTGCGAGAGTTAGGATAGTTGTTACTGAACAGCGATTTCGATTTGGAATCATATTTAACTGCAAAAAAAGTTAAACTCACATTGAATATTCTATGGTGCGTAATTGCAAACCATCGTTATATCTGAATAGATGCACGATACTATTACGGCGCGATTGAAACGGTTACAAAAGAACTGCCCTTTGGAACATAATCCCGTGTCAGAATATCAGCAGAGAAGCGTCATTTACTTGAGCCCCGGAAGGAAAAGATCGTGGCAACAAATTGATAGCGTCACTTTAGCCATAGCTCATTCAATTCAGTCATCAATTCGGCCGTAGATTTTATAGGCGAAAATATCGGTGACAACAAAGAAAGTTAGGGAAGGTGAAAGATGAACGGGGGTGTGGCGATGGACATACGAGTCCGACTGATCAACGTCCTGTAGCTGATGCCGGCTAAGGTGGGTGGTTGACTGTCTTTGTGTAGCACTGCTGCGTAAACGCTATGTACTTGATGATAGGCGACTGTGAACCACGACTGACGACAGCACGAGGTACGTTCTTATAATAACGAATATCACCGTAATAACCATTCGTAGCT